CTATTTTATGTATCGATGTTAAATGTATTTTTGTATTGGTCACGTGACACCTCTAATTACCGTACTTCAATCACTAAACTATCACATATCAGTACTGTTATTAGTGCTGTTCTAATATACTTGTGATGTTATTTTTATTAGCCTGCTATAGTCGATAGTATAAATATTAGGTAAGTGAGATAAGTTACATTTTTACTTGCAAAATGTGTGATCAATACGATTTAGAAAGCCCTGAGGCAAATTACACTATGTCAACTAATGAAGTCGAAAACGATATTGCAAGTTTATATACAGAGAAAATGCTAACGAACTGGGAAATTTGTGATTCGTTCATAAGTGAATGGAGCAAAAAAAGAGGCTTTAACATTATTAAAGATCGTGTCTACTGAGAGAATAGTGTTATTAGAAGGAGAGCTTATATTTTGAGCATGGATGCAGTTATAAATCAAACTCAAAAAAGGAAACCAGTACTAAAAAAATTTTTTGCCTATGGCATGTAAATGCTTCTTGTTCTAAGGGGAAGAACCCAAACTCAGCCATTTTTGTTATTAAGGTTATTGATAAACATAATTACTACCTTAATGTTAATGCTATCATGTTTGAATTCGAAAAAAAGTTCAGTATGGAGATGATAGAAAATATTAAGTTCTTAACACAGCACTGTAAAATAGATGCAACAGCACAAATAAAATATCTAGAAGGAAAGTACCCTGTTTATCCAATATATAGCAAGGATTTATATGCAGTAATCAGAAAGTTTTGCCTTATAGCTAAATCTTTGTTGAATGATACTGCTCAAATATCAGATTGTTAGATTTACAAAAAAAAAAGTATTCATAATAGTTTATAGCAAGAGGGTAGGATGAAAACAATACACTTACACATCTAACATGGATGACTCCTAAACAAATAGACAATTGGATTAAATTTAGTAATTATGTATTTTTTGATGTTATACATAAGACCAATTGCTATGGAATAGTTCTAACATTTTTTATAGAATTCGATCATAATATACAAAATATTATACTGGCACAAGGATTATTTTCAGATAAGAGCTAACAGTCTTATGCATAGATATTTAAACATATTATAAATACTACTAATATATAACCAACTGTAATCTTAACTGATTCTAACCTAGTGATTAATGCTGCTATAAGAAAAATATTTCCAAATACTTATTCTATACATTAGACATTTTATATTATTCACAATATCTATAAGAACCTTAAAAAGCCTTTAGGTAATTAGTATGTAAAGTTTTTTATGAATGCAGAAATAGTCTTATTTAGACTATATTTGAATAGTATTTTACAAAGCTTATAGAAGATTATTCAAAAAGAAAATATTATTTGAAGACTTTGTATAGATTAAAAATATATTGGGCTTATTCATATATATTCTTCAAATTTATAGAAAGAATAATTACTATATCTTAGGTTGAATTAACTAATGCTATCTCAAACAACTGCTTTATAATTCTAATATTTTACTTTGTAAATATATGTTTGAAATCTATAAGTTATTTGATTAACAAGATAAAAAAAAATTGGTATTAGTACTAGAAACTCACTATACTATCAGTTAGAAATACTAAACATATAAACTTCTTGTTTACTGAAGTAAATAAGTGTTATCAAAATTTTTTAATTCTTGTAATTTTGAATATATAGTATAATAAAATAAATTAATTACTTTATTATATTGAATATTTAATCAGTAAACAAAATACTTTAGTTAATAATAATTTGAATATTACTCTCTTAAATATTAAAAATATTAATAATTTACAAGTAATTATATATCAATTGTTAGATACTATTAGCTGTGA